GTACTTCTTTTGGTAGAGTAGCAGCTTCTTCCCTTCTCGGTCCCGCTCCAGGTTCATGCCAAGGAACAACGTGGCTCTCGGGATCTGCTTCACCTGGAAGACAGCTGCAAGGTGAGCACACACTTCCTCAACTCCGTCCTCCAAAGCTCCAGCCACTAGGATGTCGTCGACGTAGAGTAGGAGGTAGACTTTTTTCTCCCCTTCCCCCTTCCAGTAAAATGCTCTGTCACACTGACTTTTCTTGAAACCTCCTTCGAGCAGGCGTGCATCCATAGCCTTGTACCACTCTCGAGGGCTTTGTTTCAGCCCATAGAGCGCTTTCAGCAGTTTGCATTTTCTGTCAGTTCCGTCCTCCATTCCTGTAGGCTGATCCATGTAGATGTCTTCTTGGAGTTCTTCGTAGAGGAAAGCGTTCTTGATGTCAAGTTGAACCATGATGTAGTTGCGTGCTGCCACAATCTTGAAGAGTGTCCTTGCTGTAGTCAATTTGCTGACAGGGGCGTATGTCTCCGTGTAGTCGATCCCCTCTACTTGCGTGTAACCTTTTGCCACCAGCCGTGCTTTGAACCTCTCAAGCTGCCCCTTATCCCCTGTTTTTTCTTGAAAATCCACTTGACGCCAACGGCATGCCTCTCTTCGGGCATTTGGACGAGTTTCCAAGTGCCTCTTTCTGCGAGAGCGTCCAACTCCTCTTGTATAGGTGCTTTCCACTGCTCCTTGTATGGTCCAGAGAGTGCTTCCTCGATGCTCAAAGGTTCCTGCGGCAGATTGTAAGTCTCTCTTCTTTCCTTGGTAATCAGCGCTGTCGCCGTTGAGGTGATGAGGAGGTGAGTGTGCACGTCTTTCCAGCATGTCATCAGGACCTGTTGGTATTTCGGATTCGGCTTCTTCATCCGCATCCCTCTTCCCAGCTCCTCTCCTTTCACCGAAACATCACTTGCACTCGTGTCTGCTGCCATCTCCCCTGCTTTCTCTGTGCTAGAGCCTCCTTCTTTTCTCCCAATAAGAATAGCTCCTTCCTGCAGTAAGCTGTCAATTTCTGCTGCTCCTTGGTCGTTGTTGTTTGTCTCGAAGAACTCCCACGGGTCGCTTTTGCCCTCTGTACTTGGCTGACCTACACTTTCAGCTTCATTCCCTCCCATGTCTTCATGTGTGTCTCTAACTGATTGTTGCAGAGGTGGAGTTGTAGGAGCCGATTCCATGTCACCGTTGGCGAGCATATCCGCAGTTGGCTCCCACACCCAATCCACTCCAGCTTGGGTATGTTCCTCCTCATATTCTTCCCCTTCGTCGTTTGCTGTCCCCAAGCCTTCGTTTTGGTCATCTTCAAGTAGTTCCTCCACTCGTTGAGGTGTGGCAGGTGCTGTCCCTGGAGTTTCGCCCTTGTTGCTTGCCTTCCAGTCCACGTAGTTGAGTTTTTCGTAGAATGTCACGTCTCTGGTCGCCAGTACTATCCCGGTCTCCACGTCCTTGATGATCCAGCCCTTACTCTCTGGACATGTTCCCAAGTGCACCCCCCACCTTGCCCTTGGCAGAAGTTTGTGATCAGCTCCAGCAGGGGGCCTGTACTGCGTCATACAGCCCCACACTCGAAGAAACTTCAGGTTTGGCTTCCGTTTGTAGAATGCTTCGTGAGGTGTCTTGTCCGCTACAAGTCCTTTTGTCGGTAGGCGATTTTTCAGCCAGCAAGCCATGCCCAGCGCGTCTCCCCAGTAGGTCAGAGGTAGCTTGCTGTCTGCTATCATGCTTCTCACGCTGTTGAGCAGTGTCCTATTCATCCGCTCCGCAATACTGTTGTGTTGAGGGGTATGGGGAATAGTACGCTGCCGTCGTATTCCTTTGGCTTTCAGGTAGTCGTTGAACTCCTTGTTGATGAACTCCCCACCGTTGTCAGTTCGAAGTACTTTCAGCTGCTTGCCGCTTTTTCGTTCAGCTTCCGCCAACCAGTCCACAAAACTCAGAAAAACCTGAGTTTTATCTTTCAGTTCCGTCACCCATGTGAGTCTTGTGCCGATGTCTGTGAACGTGACAAAGTATCTGCTGCCATGTCGTGATGTGACCCTCATGGGACCGCATACATCCGCTGCCACCACTTCCATTGCCCCATATGGCTCCTTTGGTCCATGTCTTGGATGGGGAGCCTTGGTAGCTTTCCCTTCGACACATGAGTCGCACTTCGTATGAGTTTCCTCAGCATCATTCACCTTCACTCCTGCTGCCATATCTTTCTTCATCATTTCCTTGATCCGTTGAGTGCTTGCATGCCCCATCCTCTTGTGCAGGAGATTTATGTCAACAGTTTCTACCACTGCTGCCACTGGGAACTTCAGCTGCTGCAGCTCAGTCACTGCAGTATTTTCCAGCATGGTGTGTAGCTCTTCTCGGCCCTTTTTCCCTTCTTCAGGTTCAGGTTGATAGATAAGCTTGTTCTCACGAGTATCTTGCTCCTTCAGCTTCATCTCGTAGAGTCCTTCAGTCCGAGCGCCTTCCGCTATCAGTTTCCAGTTGGGACCGGACACCCACAGCTTTCCATTGTCACTGAAGGTCTTGCAGCCACTGCTGTCCAGTTGCGTTTGACTGATAAGGTTAAGGGACAGCTTCTTCACCAGTAGAACGTTGTCCATTTTCAGCTCCCCATAGGGACTCTGTAAGATCAGGTCCCCTTCTCCTTGTACTTGAAGTTTCCCTTCGTCCCCGAGTAGGACATAAGGTACTCCGGATTCCCGGTAGTTGCATAGCCAATCAGCTCGGTGTGTCATGTGCTGTGTACACCCGTTGTCCATAAACCAAGCCGTTTCCTTGAACCCTTTTGCCAGCAGGCACACCTCGGATGCTGGAGCAACGTTGGCTTTGTGGGCGCCTCCAAGGATGGCGTCAACCTTTGGCGTTTCTTCCACAGCTGCAGGTGCCTCCATTAGGTTTCTCTTCGCTGCTGCTGCTGGCCTTTGTTGTTGCAGCTCCTTTCCTCGGAAATTTCTGCTAAATCGGTTGTTGTAGCAATCGAAAGCTTTGTGCCCATATTTGCCGCAATGGTTGCAATTTCCATTGAAACCTCCGCTTGCCTTGTAGCCTTCTCCACGCCTTGCATCGTTGTTTTGTTGCCACTGTCATTTCCCTTTGTAGTTTCTTCCATTGGGGCTGGAATAACAGTCGGCAGCTTTGTGCCCCTTCTTCCCGCAGCTGTAGCAGTTGCCAAAATCTCTTGGTGTTGCAGTTGCGTTCAGATTTGCAGGCCTGTTGACCTCTGCTGCCGTTGCCACTGCTTCCCTTCTTTTCAGGTCAGATTTGACCAGCTCAAGCGCCTGGAGGGTCTCGAGCAGCTGGGTCATATCCTTGGGCGTATTACAGGTAAGGATTCCGATCTCTGCAGTCCATTCCTTGGGTAGGCCGCTGATTATGTAACTCATCATGTGTTTTTCAGGTTCCGGCGCCCCCATTGCCTTGAGATCGTCGTTGTAGCTCTTCGCTCTATTAACGTAGTCAATGATCTTCTCCGATGGCTCCATTGCAAGTAGCAGCAGTTTCTTTCTCACTGCAGTCAGATTCGTGTCCGTCCGTCCGAGATACACCGCTTCCATGTATGTCCATGCGCGTTGTGCTGAGTTTATGTCGTCCGCAAACTGGTCCAGCCCCACAGCGATGGAATCTGAAACCGAGTGGCACAGTTGGAAGAAGGCTTGTAAGCTCTTCTTCTTGTATGCCCTCTTTTCTTGTGCCGTTGCCGTTGCAGGTGGAGGTACTCCTTCCTCCGTTTCCTCATCCGCTTTGTAGAAGTGCCAAGTGTCAATCTCTCTCGCCCGCCGCATAAACTTCAGTCGCCATGTGCTGTAATTGTTGCCGTTGAAGCGTTGCGCCTCACTTAGGCCAATCGTTGGCCTCGCCACCATTTGCCCTTGTGCAAGGGCCTCCAAGAGGGCTTGGACTTGGGGAACTTCAGCACTGACTGAAGAACCCGAGCTTGCCTCACCATCCCCGTTCGGCATGATGCAGGAACTTGTCTTGGCCCTTCTTGAATGCTTAACACACACCAGAACTGGCTCTGATACCAGCTCTTAGACTCAGTCGTAGTGAGTACGTGACTTAGGAGTCACGAAAGTAGCAGTAGCGGGCTTCAAACTGAATCCCAAAGTTGAAGAAACAGGTTGCTTTCCAACCCAGGTTGCAAAGAGAAAGTTTCACTAAGAAAATTTGATACAAAGAGGAAAACAGAACATGATATTTAAGCAATCCGAAATCCGAATTTCAAAGGGCGCCTCGTGTAACGCGCCTCGTCGCGAATCCAAATTTCGTAACAGTAACCGATGTTGAAAACCGAAATTCAAACTGAGCCGTCGTTGAAACCGACTTTCTTCAACTCCACCGAACACTGCCTCCGGAATGGTTGGGAAAATTTCTGGCGGTTGAGAACGTTCTTCCCTCTCTCTCTCCTGAAACCCTCGTTTTCACCAGCTGCTCCTTACGATCTTCTCAGCTAGCTCCTCCCACCGTCAGAACTCATTGTCCAGCCTATTCTCTCCCACCGCCATAGGTAAGGCAATTTTCAAGTGTCCTGTTCTGTCGTTTTCACGCTCTAGAGTCGGTGCAGCGGCTAACCACCTCTAACAGAACCTACACAGAGGACTTTGACGTTGAATTCTTTTATACCTGCAGATCTGACAGGGGAACACTGGAGGGGGCTGAGGCGAGGAGAGTTGGACGGGGGGTTTGAGGAAGCTTAGGGAAGGTGTGGGCAGCTCGAGGGAACAGAGGGGGTGGATGCTTGGCTATAAGGGACGAAAGAGCAGCTATAGGGGACGGAAGAGAATTTAGAGTGGAGTAATAGAGAGAGAATTACAGATAAATCAAATGGAACAAAATCAAAATATTTTTGCGTCGACTAGTAATTGCATGTCGAGTTGATGCTGCGTCACGTTCAATGATTCAAAGCCTACGCAACACGTATTTTAGAAAGTTTGCTGCGAATCAGTTGAAAATTTGAGATCCGGAAACATCAAATATACATGATTATTAAAACATTAGATATTTTCCCAGTGTCTCTCCCATTGGTGCAGATAGCAGGAGGGCACTGCTACCTGCTCGGGTTGACCTGCGCCAACGAGCCTCACGGCAGGTGAGCGCACACAGTAGTAATGTGAGTGATAAGCTTAGTGGCGCGATAGTGTCTCTCCCAGTGGTGCAGATCGCAGGGGGCACTGCTACCTGCTCGGGTTGACCTGCGCCAACGAGCCTCACGGCAGGTCAGGCTAGTGCTCAGTTCAGTGCTGTGGTGAGCGTGAGACCAGTGGTGCAGATAGCAGGAGGACACTGTTACCTGCTCGGGTTGACTTGCGCCAAGGAGCCCCACGGCAGGTGAGGCTCGTGATACTCCCAGTGGTGTCCTGTGGTGAGATCAGTGGTGCAGATAGCAGGGGGGCGCTGGTAACTGCTGGGATTGACTTGTGCCAACGAGCCTTATGGCATTTGAGCCTAGTGATTCGCGCAGTGGTGTGATGAGCCGTGGACAGAATGGTATTGGCCATGGTACAGAACGGTGCAGATAGCAGGCAGGAGGGGCACTGCTGCTTGCTCGTGTTGACTTCTCTGCCATGTCCTGTGACCTGTCATCCATGTGTGCTCGGCTGAATGCTAGTGCTCGGCTGAATGCTAGTGCAACAACATCAGCTGAATTATTGATCGAAGATGGGCTTAAAGAGAACGGTGTTTCTTAGTTGGTGTTTGGAAAATGTGTGTAGTGGTCACACTTGTATTAGGACGGAGTTGTGTGTAAGCTTCCCAATTCTCCAAGTTATTACTACGCTGCACTATAGGATGGGAAGCTGTTCGTTTCGTTGATAAGCTAGGTTATTTGTCTCCCACCAGTTTCCTTCCTTCTCTCTCTTCTCCCCTCCTTTCCTCAGGTCTGTCTGGTCCATTGGCTGTGGTCTGGGCGGCAAGCTAGGCCACGGCACAAAGTACGACGAATGCCGCCCGAAAGAGATCGCACACTTTAAAACCCTAGAGTTCGCCCCCACAGCCGTTGCTGCAGGCGCATGGCATGCTGCTGCTGTTGCTACTGACGGGAGAGTTGCCACGTGGGGGTGGGGCAGGCATGGGTGCCTGGGGCATGGGAAGGACCAGTGTGAAACGCTGCCCAGGGTTATTGAGAGCTTGTGTAAAACGGAGGAGGAGGGGGGTAGGAGTAGTGGGGTGAGTGGAAGGGGCGGTGTTGGCGTTGGTGCTAATGATGCTGCTGGTTCTGGTGGTGCTGCCTCTACCTCTGCTTCTGCTGCTTCTCCCTCTGCTGCTGCTGTTTCTCCATCTGGAGCTGGGGCGGGTTTCAGCAAGGATGACTCGCACGGTTCACGTGGCAAGCTCCGTCCAGCTGTGAAAGCATGCCACGTGGCAGCAGGGGATTACACAACGTTTGTGGTGGGGGAGGGCGGCGAGGTGTGGTCGTTTGGGAGCGTGGAGAGCCCGTGTTTGGGGCATGGCGGCGGGTGGGAGAGGGAGGAGGAGGAGGAAGGGGAGGAGATAGACGATGCTGATCTTCATGATATCGTGGTGAGTAGTTGTTTTAGGGTCATGGGGACAAATGCATGTGTGGTTTTATTATGAAGACGAGGTGTGTTGGTCGTTTGGGAGCGCTGAGGTTACGTGTTTGGGGAATGGGGGTGGGGGGGGAGAGGGAGGAGGAGGAGGAAGGCGAGGAGATAGACAAAGCTGATCTTCACGACATCGTGGTGGGTCTTTTTGTCTTTTTCTTTTGGCCTCAAACGCCAATGCTGAAGCCTTTTTGGCACGGTGTTTTTGATCACGGTCTTCACGACATCGTGGTGGGCCTTTTCGGCACGGTGTTTTTGAGAATGATAAAAAACACTTTGAAGCCCTTTTTCGCACGTCTTGTTGCCTCAAACACGTTCCAGCTCCGCCCAGAAATGTCTGTTTGCCCTGTTTTCTATGTGGAATGTGCTTGTGCTGATAAGGGCTAAGATTTCATCAATTCATGCTTCATCACCCGCGCCCCCTCACTCCCCCCACCACACCACACACAATGACCTCTTCTTTCATCCCTTTCCTTCTCACCCCACACATCCACACTCCGCACACCCTCACCAACTGCGGCAGCACCAGCGGCGCTGTCGGGATGTGATGCAGCCGAGGCGGGTGTCTCTGCTGGAAGAGCGAGCTACCCACCCCCCTGCTCCTTTGCCCCCTCACTCTCACTTCATCCCCCTCTTTTTCCCCAACCCTCATCAGTTGCGGCAGCACCGGCGGCGCTATCGGGATGTGATGCAGCCACCCGCGGCGGGTGTCTCTGCTGGAGGAGCGAGCTACCCACCCACCTGCTTCTCTTACCCCTCTTGCTCTTCCCTCTCCCTTACACTGCCCACTCCCCCCACATTCTCCTAGTTGCGGCAGCACCGGAGGTGCAACCAGGATGTGATGCAGCCCAGGCGAGTCTCTCTGCTGGAGGAGCGAGCTGCCCAACCCCCTGCTCCTCTACCCGCTGCCCCTGCTGCCGCTCCTGCTGCTAGTCCTGCTGCTGATGCTGCTGATGCTTGTGCAGCACTCGAGGCTTCTGCCAACCCGCTTGTTCCTGCTTCTGCTGCCACCCCTCCTGATGCTGCAAGTCCTGCCGCGGCCACTGGTGTTGCTGCCACACAGCTAGGCCGGGGACCTGCCGGTGCAAGGGGCAGCGTGAGAGGGCGGTTTACGTGGGGTAGTCTGCCCGCTTCTGCCACTGCAGGACGAGGGAGAGATTCTACAACAACTCCATATGCTGCTGCTGATGCCACCACTGCTTCTGCTGCTAATACTGCTGCTAATACTACTACTACTGCTGCTGCTGCTTTTGCTGCTGTTGCTGATGTTACTGGTCCTGCTGATCACGTCATTTCTATATCACCGGTAATCACCAGCAGCGCTGACAGTGGGAGTGGCAGTGGCAGCGGTGACGCTATGGCTGTGAGTTTGAGTGAGTGGATGAGCAGTATAGCCTGCAGCAGCAACTCTGGCCCGGATAGCCCCTTCGGCAACAGCAGCAGCAACACTAACAGCAACAGCAACAGCAGCAACAGCAACGGAAATGGCAACAGGAGCACCAGCGACGCTGCAGCCGGTAGCAGCAGCAGGAGAGGTACAGTGGTGCAGATAAGTACATCGAATGCCGGCCACTTTGACGCTCACATGCTGGCACTGACCAGTGATGGCAGGGTGCTGGCATGTGGGGGTGGGAGTAAGGGGCAGCTGGGGGCGCCCCCTGCTGCAGGGGATACTTCGTTCCCCCAGTTCGTGAAGGGGCTGCTTCTGTGAGTGTCATTGCCTGGAAGAGTGGCGTTGACCTGCGTTGACTAGAGTTGACCAGGAACGGCAGGGCGCTGGCATGTGGGGGCGGGAGTAAGGGGCAGCTGGGGGCGCCCCCTGCTGCAGGGGATACCTCGTTCCCCCAGTTCGTTAAGGGGCTGCTACTGTGAGTGTCATTGGCTGGAAGAGTGGCGTTGATCTGCGTTGACTAGAGTTGACCAGGAACGGCAGGGTGCTGGCATGTGGGGGCGGGAGTAAGGGGCAGCTGGGGCCACCCCCTGCTGCAGGGAATACGTCCTTTCCTTAGTTTGTGAAAGGGCTGCTTCTGTGAGGGTCTTGGGCTGGATGAGTGCTGTTGACCAGCGTTGACCAACGTTGACCAACGATGGGTGTTGCTGACATGTGTTGCTGGCACTTTGTGCCAGCCAACATTGACCATCATTGACCGGCCTTGGATGGACTGAGATTGCAGGGGACAAGTGTGTAAGCAGTGCTGCACAGCCAGCCACAGGAGGTTCAGGCAGAGAGCCTCTGGGAAGAGATGGTGGAGATGGTGTGGATTACGTGTGATATGGAGAATGATAGGGAGGATGGGCGGCAAGGAGGATGGGCGGCACGGAGGATGGGCGGCACGGAGGAATAACGGGAGGATAAACAGGAGATGACGGAGGGCCTGGAGTCTTTTCCGGGTTTGAGAAGGCGTTGTATATAAGACAGTACGGTGGTATGGTGTTGCGTATAGGGTAGTAAGGTGGTGGTTGTCACAGGGTTGGGGGGTACAGAGCGGTGGTAAAGATCATTTGAGAGGTGCAGGTATGTTCATTTAGTAAACTCAAAGAGTCAGGTTGTCAGAGGGCTGGAGCACAGTGTGGTGGTTTAAAACGATGGGAGAGGTGGAGGTATGTAAGAGGTACGTAACACTTTGTATAGTTTGTGAGTTTGTACAGGAAGCAGAGGGATGGATGTGAAGACTCGAGACCCAAGAGCAAGGAGCTCTTGAGTGCGACTGGCGGCTCGTCGTCTCTGTGTGGTGTGTACATTTTGGGGGTGATTGAACATGGACAAAATAGTTTAGCTGATCTAGGGGGTGCCAATTTACTTTGGAGGGTCGAAGTTGGTACGGTAGTGGCAGGGTTATAGGAGAAAACTGTCTGCGTGATAAGACCTTGGGGATCTAACTTGTAAATATGTATTCGGTGGTAAATGCTTTTCTGTGGGCTAACAGGTCGTATCCTACCTGTGCCCATGGGAGTAGCCCCCCCCACCCCCCCTCAAGAATGCCTGCCATACCATGCTAAGCCATGGTGTGCTGGGCGAGGAGAGGCTAGGACAAGGCAAGTCAATCAAATTTAGCAGTATTAGGCATAGAGAAGCCATGACTCAGAAAGAGGGGAGCTTACAAAAGGTGCACACGGGGAGGCGTGTCCTCAGAATGGAGGCGACCGGTTTCTCTTAGGAAAATGATTGTTTTTTTCATTCGGTGCTTTACATCCAATGGCCGTTATTCAATTGAACCCTTGATGCTGGTTAGCATATAACAGCAGTAAGAGCAACTTGATGTTTTTCTACTTGTATTAACAGCAAGCTCTATTGCATAACGTACTCGATTCTGGACTAGGGAAATGCAGTGTAGGTGATGAACCCACGATGATTTTCGGACTGGCTTGAGGATGTCGAGCCGCGATTCTGTGGGTTCGGGGCAGGTCGCGAAGACACTTCTAAATGCGGTTGAGAGCGGTCTGCTGAAACATTCAATGGAAAACGTGTTGTCCACCCTCACCGCCACCCACATCGAACACCTTCCGCGAAATCGAGTCGCGAAACCACTGGACATTGGCATTGCGGGGAAATGCTCTCTCTGTGCCGGGAAGAAAAGGCAGGAAAACAATCGTCGTGACATTCATAAAACCAACACACGTCCCCAACACTGGAAGTGTTAGACCGCCGTGGTCAGGTAAAAATGTCAACTCTCAGCGCTTCTTATCAGCATTCCTTCCTCCCTCGGTCGTCACCCATCCTGTTCGCACCTGTTTGGACTCCCGTTTCCGATCACTCCACGTCCGCATAGTATTCATATAATTATCTCGGTTGATCCCAAGAGCAACTCGCGCTAGCATCTCCGCCATTTATTTTTCCGCCTTGAAGAGCCCCAGGCTCTCCAACAGCCAGTCGCAATGGCAAAACTCACGGGAAACTTCTCCCTGCTGCTCGTTGTCCTCTCACACGTCTGCCTCTCGCCTCTCCTCATCGCATCCGCTGGTGCGCCGCGCATCGCGCGCACGCCCAGCGCGCACAAAGAGCACCGCCGTCAGCGCCAGCTGACCGACATTGTCGGCCGTGGCGCGACCACGCGTGTGCACACGTCTGAAGATCCAAGCGCTCCAATAACATACGGAGGAGGGTCTGTGATGACCGGAAACCCGTCCATCAACGTGTACATCATCTACTACGGCAGCTGGCCGGCAGGATCGGGGCAGAAAATAATCGAGAATTTCATCAGATCGCTGAGCGCGGACTCGCAGCGGCAGGGGAGTCCCGCGGATCCCAAGGTGAAGCGCTGGTGGGCGATCAGCGCGGCGTACACGCAGGAGGAAGAGGACGGCACAAAGACGAACGTCAGCAGCAAGGTGTGTTGCACATAAACGTTGCCACTACTCCCTCCCATAACTTTGCCACAACACCCCTCCCATAAAGCACCTCGTCTCTCTCTATCAACTTAATGAAATGCAAATTATTTTGCATTCGTTTCATTCCAGGTGCGCCTCGCCAGGACTGTCCGTGACAACTACTCGGCGGGAAAGGATTTTGGCAAAGACACGGTTTGGGAAGGTACGCAGCACGGCAAAACCATTTCGCGGCCTCTTCCAGCATTTCGCAGCATTCCACCACTCCACCTCTTCCAGCATGATGATACCTGCCGTTGAGCAACTATGCACTGCCGTAAGCAAGTCAGGATACGTTTCTGTCACAATCTGAACTATTAAAAAGCCCTCCTTTGTTGCAGTTCTTTCCAACAAGATTGGCGCTGGAAAGCCGTTTCCGTACGACGCGAGTGGCATCTACCTGCTTCTTTCCAGCAAGGATGTCACCGTCCCGGGTTTCTGTACCGAGTATATGGGGTGGCACAGCATGGGCTACATCGATTCCGAATCGCCGGTTGTATTCTCGTTCGTGGGGCATCACGGGCAGTGCAAAGAAGAATGGATTCCGAAGCCGTCTCCCAACGGCAACCCTGCGATCGATTTCACGCTTTCAACCATTTCTCATGAGATTGCGGAAGCAGCAACGGACCCAGATGTTCAGACCGGGTGGGGCGACGAGAACGGTGAGAATGCGGACAAGTGTTACATGGACGTTGGTCAGACGAAAACGGGCAAGGACAGCCGCGGTGGAACGTACAAGTACAATCTGGTTGGGATGAACAACATGAGGTTTCTGATCCAGAGTAACTGGGACTGGCAGAAGAACAAATGTGTGACGCAGAGGAAGTACCAGTAGGGGGAGGATTTATGTGTGTCATCATGCTCGAATGAAACGTTTCCCATCTCTTTCTGAAGTCTAGATACAATGAATACGGTCCGATGCATGGATGTACCGTGAAATATAAATCAACAGCGCTTCTTTTATGCATCATGATTAGCCAAGCAGAGCCAAGCCTAGTCGATCCGAGCCTAGGAAAAGCAAGGTTCAGCCCAACCCAAGAAAAGCTATTCCTAGCAAATTAAATCCAAGCCAAGCCAGGTTGGAGGGCAAACCAAGCCAAGCATAGCCAAGCCATGCAAAGCCATGCCAAGCCGGGCTCGACCAGTCCAACCCAGGACAAGCCTAGCCAAGCCAAGAATCGCCAGGCCAGGACAGGCCAGACCAAGCCAGGCCTGGCCAGGCCAAGCAAAGCCAAGCATTGCTAAACATAGTCCAGCCAAGCCAATCCAGGCCATGCCCTGCCATGCCAAGACAACTCCATGCATGCCAATCCAAGGCAAGCCAAGAGGATAAATCAAACAAAGCCAAGCCTTGCCAGGACAGTCAAAGCAAAGCATAAGACAAAACAAAACAGGCCAACCTACACCATACCAAGCCAAGCCAAGCCAAGCCAAGCCAAGCCAAGCAAAGCTAGACCAAGCCAGAAATGGAAAGCAGGCCAGGCCATGTTCAACCAAGCCAACCCAAGCTTTGCCAAGCCTCTGTCAAGCCCAGCCTAGGCTATCCACGCCAGGTCAGGTCAGGCAAGTACAGGTCAAGCCCAGAGAATCCAAGCCAATTCAGGTCAGGCTAGGCAAGTCCATGCCATCCCGACCAGGCCTGGGCAAGGTAGGGTAAGCCAAGCTAGGGTAAACCAAGCTAAGCCACGTATTGGCAGTCAAGGCAAAGAGTTCCCAGTCAAGGCAGGTTTTGTCTAGCCAAGGCAAGTATTGTCTAGTCAAGGCAAGTATTGTCTGGTCAAGGCAAGTATTGTCTGGTCAAGGCAAGTATAACCCAGTCAAAACAATTAAAGCCTAGTCAGGCAGATTATAGCCCAGGCTATTATAGCCTGGTCAAACAAGTGTAGCCTAGTCAGCCAAGTATAGCCTAGTCAGCCAAGTATAGCCTAGTCAAGGCAAGTATAGCCTAGTCAGCCAAGTATAGCCTAGTCAAGGCAAGTATAGCCTAGTCAAGGCAAGTATAGCTACTCAAGGCAAGTATAGCCCAGTCAAGGCAAGTATATGTACAGCCTAGTCAAGGCAAGTATAGCCTAGTCAGCCAAGTATAGCCTAGTCAAGGCAAGTATGGCCTAGTCAAGGCAAGTATAGCTTAGTCAAGGCAAGTATAGCCTAGTCAGCCAAGTATAGCCTAGTCAAGGCAGGTATAACCTACCAAGCAGGTACAGGCCAGACCATTCCATGTCCATGAAAGGCAGGTAGGTACAAACCAGGCATGCCATTGTAAGCCGTTGTAAGCCATTGTAAGCCATTTTCCGCCATGCCAGACAAGGGCAGACAAGGGAAAAACATGTAGAGCCAATCTGGAATAGCGAATCCAAGCCAAGGCAATCTAAGCCATGCCAGCCCAGGCTAACCAAGCCTAACCAGGTCAATCCAAGCCATGGTGGCCAGGCCAGGCCCCGCTATTTCAGATGGAAAGATGTAAGATTTATGTCGGGAGTAGCAGCAAACTTAGAGAAAACGCTAAGAAATAGGATCAAAACGTGAGATATTGTTCCCAGGAAGTCAAGAAAATCTCAAAGCTTCCAAACCTCGAAAAAACCCTCAGTCGCAAACTAGTTTCGGCCAAACGGGACAGAACCCTGCTAAGCCTTCATCAGTGCTGCTTTCCAGGTTCAAGCCATGGTGGCCAGGCCAGGCCCGGCTATTTCAGATGAAAAGTTTGAAAAGCAAGCCAGCAAAGGCAAGCCAGACCAAATCCAGCCAAGACCAGGCTAGGCCAGGCCAGGTTAAGCCAAGCCAAGATAGGTTTGGAAAGATCAGGACAAGCCTCCAAACCCAGCCAAGAAAATCCAGGCCAAACTAGGCTAGACCAGGGCATGCCACGTCCAACCAAGGCAAGCCAAGCTCAGCCATGCCATGCCAAGCCGGGCTAGGGAAGGCCAGGCCAATCCAATTTACCAAGCCAAGCAGCCAGGCCCGGTCAATCCTAGAAAGGAAAAGCCAAGCCAAGACAAGCCATGCCAAGTTAGGGTATGCTAGGCAAGTTGAAGCCACGCCTGGCCATGCCAAGGCAAGCCAAATCCCAGCCAGGCAAGGTCCGGCCAAATTCAAGGCTATTCAAGCAGAGCCGAGCAATTCTGTAAGTCCCGAGCCATCTCTGTGAAATGCAGTCGCGCATCCCTTTGGGGTCTCCAGGAAGGGGGGTCTCCACGAAGGGGGGTCTTGGAGATGATCTTTCGCCTCGTCTTCCAACAATCCAAGATCTGCCTTTTGAGTCGACTCAAAAGTCACCTTGGGGTCTCCAGGAAGGGGGATCTCCAGGAAGGGGGGTCTTAAAGATGATCGTTCGCCTCTTCCAAGAATCCAAGATCTGTCGCTACCATTCAAAGCCCTCGTTCTGTCGCGGTTGTTTCGAAGAGGGTTGGCCTTTGAGCACGATCCATCCGCATGGCATTTACTTGCTGCTTCTTACCAGAGACATTGTTGCCACCCCTGGTTACTGTTACTTTAGCAAGATTTCCAGCTATCATGACATAGACCAAGCCAGGCCGAACCATGTCCAACCAAGTCATTCAAGTCAGGCCACGCCATGCCAAGGTCATGCCAACCCAGGCTAACCCAGGCTTACCCAGGCTAATCCAACCATACAGCAAATATTGGCTAAGTCAAGCCAAGCCATGCCAACCCAGGCTAGACTAGACCAAGCCATGCCATGCCAGACCAGGCTAGCCAAGCCAAGCCAAGCCAAGCCAAGCCAAGCTAAGACAAGACAAGCCAAGCCAAGACAAGCCAAGCTAAGCCATGCCAAGCCATGACAAGCCAAGCCAAGCCAAACCAAGCCAAGCCAAGCCAAGCCAAGCCACGGCAAGCCCGGCCTGACTAAGCCATACCGGACCAAATCAGCCAAGCTAAGCCAAGCCAACCCAGGCCATACGTGTATAGGCGTAACCATATGTAGCCGTGCCAGTAAAGCGAGCCTAAGCTAGTCAAGCTAGTCAAGCTAGTCAAGTCAATATAAGCCATGCCAAGCCGAGCCAATCCAAGCCATAACAAACCAGATCAGGGTAGGCTATTCCATGCCAAACCATGTCCAGCCACACCAACCAAACCAAGCCACACAAAGCCAAGCCATGCGAAACCAGCCCAGGCCAAGCCAAACAAGTTCAAGAAAAGCCAGCCAGACCGGGCCAAGTCAAGAAAAGCCAAACCAGGTTAAGCAAAGCAAGGAAAAGCCAAGCCATTTCAAGGCACGCAAACTCCTGCCAATCCACGCCACCCAAATCAAAGCCAGGCAAAGCCAAGCTAGGCAAAGCCAACCTTAGGCCAGGCCAAGCCAAAGCCATGCCAGATCAGTACAGCCTAGGACAAGCCGATCCAATCCAATCCAAGCCAAGCTTAGCCCAGCCTAGCCAGGCAGGGCTATGCTAGTTCAAGCCAATATTGACCAAGCCAAGCCATGCGATGACTAGAAAGTCAAGCCACCCCAAGCCAAGCCTAGTCAAACAAATCTGAGCCAAGCCTAGCCAAGCCAAGCCTAGACAGCGGTCATGCTAGGACAATCCAAGCCATTCCTGGTCAGGACAGGCAAGGAAAATAAAAAAAGTGATGGTCCCCAATCTTCTTCCTTTGGCCCTCATCGCCCCACCCTTTGCAGAAACTTTTGAGGAACCTACACAGAGGACTTTGCTGTTGAATGCTTTTATACCTGCAGATCTGACAGGGGAACACTGGAGGGGGCTGAGGCGAGGAGAGTTGGACGGGGGGTTTGAGGAAGCTTAGGGAGGGTGTGGGCAGCTCGAGGGAACAGAGGGGGTGGATGCTTGGCAATAAGGGACGAAAGAGTAGCTATAGGGGACGGAAGAGAATTTAGAGTGGAGGAATAGAGAGAGAATTACAGATAAATCAAATGGAACAAAATCAAAATATTTTTGCGTCGACTAGTAATTGCATTTCGAGTTGGTGCTGCGTCACGTTCAATGATTCAAAGCCTACGCAACACGTATTTTAGAAAGTTTGCTGCGAAGCAGTTGAAAATTTGAGATCCGGAAACATCAAATAAACATGATTATTCAAACGTTAGATATTTTCCCAGTGTCTCTCCCAGTGGTGCAGATCGCAGGGGGCACTGCTACCTGCTCGGGTTGACCTGCGCCAATGAGCCTCACGGCAGGTCAGGCTAGTGCTCGGTTCAGTGCTGCGGTGAGCGTGAGACCAGTGGTGCAGATAGCAGGAGGACATTGTTACCTGCTCGGGTTGACTTGCGCCAAGGAGCCCCACGGCAGGTGAGGCTCGTGATACTCCCAGTGGTGTCCTGTGGTGAGATCAGTGGTGCAGATAGCAGGGGGGCGCTGGTAACTGCTGGGATTGACTTGTGCCAACGAGCCTTATGGCATTTGAGCCTAGTGATTCGCGCAGTGGTGTGATGAGCCGTGGACAGAATGGTATTGGCCATGGTACAGAACGGTGCAGATAGCAAGCAGGAGGGGCACTGCTGCTTGCTCGTGTTGACTTCTCTGCCATGTCCTGTGACCTGTCATCCATGTGTGCTCGGCTGAATGCTAGTGCTCGGTTGAATGCTAGTGCTCGGCTGAATGCTAGTGCTCGGCTGAATGCTAGTGCTCGGCTGAATGCTAGTGCAACAACATCAGCTGAATTATTGATCGAAGATGGGCTTAAAGAGAACGGTGCTTCTTAGTTGGTGTTTGGAAAATGTGTGTAGTGGTCACACTTGTATTAGGACGGAGTTTTGTGTAAGCTTCCCAATTCTCCAAGTTATTACTACGCTGCACTACAGGATGGGAAGCTGTTCGTTTCGTTGATAAGCTAGGTTATTTGTCTCCCACCAGTTTCCTTCCTTCTCTCTCTTCTCCCCTCCTTTCCTCAGGTCTGTCTGGTCCATTGGCTGTGGTCTGGGCGGCAAGCTAGGCCACGGCACAAAGTACGACGAACGCCGCCCGAAAGAGATCGCACACTTTAAAACCCTAGAGTTCACCCCCACAGCCGTTGCTGCAGGCGCATGGCATGCTGCTGCTGTTGCTGCTGACGGGAGAGTTGCCACGTGGGGGTGGGGCAGGCATGGGTGCCTGGGGCATGGGAAGGACCAGTGTGAAACGCTGCCCAGGGTTATTGAGAGCTTGTGTAAAACGGAGGAGGAGGGGGGTAGGAGTAGTGGGGTGAGTGGAAGGGGCGGTGTTGGCGTTGGTGCTAATGATGCTGCTGGTTCTGGTGGTGCTGCCTCTACCTCTGCTTCTGCTGCTTCTCCCTCTGCTGCTGCTGTTTCTCCATCTGGAGTTGGGGCGGGTTTCAGCAAGGATGACTCGCACGGTTCACGTCGCAAGCTCCGTCCGGCTGTGAAAGCATGCCACGTGGCAGCAGGGGATTACACGACGTTTGTGGTGGGGGAGGGCGGCGAGGTGTGGTCGTTTGGGAGCGTGGAGAGCGCGTGTTTGGGGCATGGGGGCGGGTGGGAGAGGGAGGAAGAGGAGGAAGGCGAAGAGATCGATGATGTTGATCTGCACGATATCGTGGTGAGTAGTGTGGTGGGTGTAGGGTCATGGGTCATGGGTCATGGCAGAAGGAGAGTACGAAGAAGACGGGGAGGTGGACGATGCGGACTTGCATGACATCGTGGTGGGTGCTTTTCTTTCTTTCTTTCTTTCTTCCTTCCTTTCCTTCTTTCTTCCTTCCTTTCCTTCTTTCTTTCCTTCTTTCTTTCTTTTATAGGAAATATGGATCCATGCTGTTTTGCATGAACGCGTGAACGCGTTTGAAGAAGAGTGTTGAGACGTCTCAAAACCCTTCTTAAAAAATATGGATCCGTGCTGTTTTGCATGAACGCGTTTGACCACCTCCCTGAAGTGCCTGTTTTCGCTGTTTGCCACAAACAATGGCCTCTTCTCTTCTTCCCCCCCCCCCCCCCCCCCCCCCTCACCACACCAGCTGCGGCAGCACCGGAGGCGCAACCGGGATGTGATGCAGCCCAGGCGGATGTCTCTGAGCTGCTCATTCCCCTGCTTCTCTTACCCCTCCTGCATTCCCTCTCCCTTACACTGCCCACTTCCCCCACATTCTCCCAGCTGCGGCAGCACCGGAGGCGCAACCGGGATGTGATGCAGCCCAGGCGGGTGTCTCTGCTGGAGGAGCGAGCTACCCGCTTCTCTTACCCCTCTTGCTCTTCCCTCTCCCTTACACTGCCCACTCCCCCCACATTCTCCCAGCTGCGGCAGCACCGGAGGCGCAACCGGGATGTGATGCAGCCCAGGCGGGTGTCTCTACTGGAGGAGCGAGCTGCCCACCCCCCGGCTCCTCTTCCCACTGCCCCGGCTCCTCTTCCCACTGCCCCGGCTCCTGCTCCTGCTGCTCCTGCTGCTCCTGCCGCTCCTGCTGCTCCTGCTGCTCCTGCCGCTCCTGCCGCTCCTGCTGCTCCTGCTGCTCCTGGTGCTCCTGCTGATGCTGCTGGTGCTGATGCTGCTGATGATTCTGCAGCACTTGCGTCTACTGCCAACCTGATTGCTCTCCCTGCTGCTGCCACCCCTCTTGCTGCTGCAACTCCTACTGCTGCCCCTCGCTCAGACCCTACGCTGCTAGGCGGGGGACCTGGCAGTGCAAGGGCGGGTGTGAGAGGGGTGTTCACGTGGGGCAGTCTGCCTGCTGCTGCCACTGGGGGACGAGGAATCGACCCTGCAACGATTCCTGCTCCTGCTGTTGACGCTGCAGCTGCTGCTGCTACTGCGGCTGCTGCTGCTACTGCCACTGCTGCTGCTGCTGCTACTGCCACTGCTGCTGCTACTGCCACTGCTGCTGCTGCTACTGCCACTGCTGCTGCTGCTACTGCCACTGCTGCTGCTACTGCTGCTGATCGATCTGGTCCTTCTGGTGCCGTCACTCCTGAAACACCGCTCTTGTCTGTGGTTACCAGTAGCTCTGGGAACGGTAGTGGCAGTTTGAGTGGTAGCGATGCGAGTGGGAGTGGCAGTAGTGATGCCATGGCTGTGAGCTTGAGTGACTGGATGAGCAGTATTGTCAGTAGTAGTGTTGGTAGCAGCAACGTTGCCAGCAGCAGCAGCAGCTCCGGCCTTAATAGCCCCGGCGGCAACAGCAGCAGCAACAACACCAACACCAACATCAGCAACAGCAATGGAAACGGCATGAGGAGCGCCGGCAATGCTACAGGCGGTAGCAGCAGCAGCAGAAGGGGTACGGTGGTGCAGATAAGTACGTCGAATGCCGGCCACTTTGACGCTCACATGCTGGCGTTGACCAGTGATGGCAGGGTGCTGGCGTGTGGGGGCGGGAGTAAGGGGCAGCTGGGGGCGCCCCCTGCTGCAGGGGATACATCCTTCCCTCAGTTTGTAAAGGGGTTGGTTCTGTGAGTGGCTTGTACTGGATGAGAAGGGCTGACCTGCGATGACCGGCGTTGACCAGCGATGAGAGGGCGCTGGCATGTGTGGTTGGGAGTAAGAGGCAGCTGGGGGCGCCCCTTGCTGCAGGAAACACGTCCTTCCCCCAGTTTGTGAAAGTTCTGGTTCTATGAGGGTCTTGGGCTGACTGGGCGCTGGCGTTGACCAGCATTGACCAGCATTGACCAGCGACGGGGTTGCTGAGATGTGTTGCTGGCACTTGGTGCGGTGCTAATTCTGACCAGCATTGAGCAGAGATTTTAGGGGACAGGTGTGTGAGTGGCGAGGCACAGACAGCCACAGGAAGTTCAGGTAGAACCCCTGTGAAGAGATGGTGCGGATGGTGTGTGACATGGAAGATGAATGATAGGGAGGATGGGCGGCAGGGAGGATGGGCGGCAGGGAGGTTGGGCGGCAGGGAGGATGGGCGGGAGGGAGGATTACTTGGGAATTGGCAGGCCCTGTAGTCCTCTCCTGTGGGCAGTGGATGTAAGACTGTAAGGTGGTATGGTGTTGCATATAAGGTGGTAAGGTGGTTCATAAAGGGTTGGGGTACAGGGTGGTGGTAAAGAGTGTGAGAGGTGAAGGTACACAACGTTTTAGAAGGTGATGGGAACAATGGTTGGCAGGGAGGATGGGCGGCAGGGGAGGGTGGTTTTCAGAGAGTTAAGGGGTACGGGCCGGTGGGTGGTGGTAAAAACGATGGGATAGGTGGAGGTACGTAACGTTTTGTATAATTTGTGAGTTTGTACAGGAAGCACGGGGATGTGAAGAATTGAAGACTCAAGAGCAAGGAGCTCTTGAGTGAGAGTGGTGACTCATCATTGTCTCTCTGTACTGTAGTGTAGTGTGCATATTTTGGTGGTGATTGAATATAAACAAAATAGTATAGCCAATGCGTGGAACGTTGAAGGGTCGAAGTTAGTAGTGGCAGGGTTATTGCCAGCATGAAAAGGCCTTCAGTAGTTGAAACAGGCGGGATTTTAACTTGTAAATATGTACTCGGTGGTAAATGCTTTTGTGAGGTTAGGTAGACAGACCAACATGTGATCACGTGGAGAGGCGCGCCTTCAGAAACAAGACATTGATGTGTAATACCAAACATTGTCCGCAGGGCATAAATTGCGATTGGGTATTCAGTCCAATGCCTGTTGTTCCATGGAACTCTTGATGTTGGTTAGCATATATGCATCGTTTTGCTACTTGTATTAGAAGCAATTTCTAATGCATAACGTACTCGATTTGGACTAGGGATATGCAGTGTAGGTGATACACCCATACTGAATTTCGGACTTACTCGAGGAGATCGAGCCGCGATTTTGTGGGTTCGGGGCAGGTCCCGAATGTACTTCTGAATGCAGCTCAGCGCTTTACTGTACGATTTAGAGCGGTCTAGTTAATCATACACTGGAAAACGTGTTTTCCACCCCTCACCTCCAGCTACATCGAACACCTTCCAGGAAATCGAGTCGCGAAATCATTGAACATTGACATTGCGGGGAAATGCTTTCTCCCTGTGCCGAGAAGAAAAGAAAGGAAAAGAATCGTGACATTCATGAAACAAACACACGTCCCCAGCACTGCAAGTGTTTGAGCACCCATCCTCAGAGGTATAAATGACTACTCTCATCGCTTCTTATCAGCATTCCTTCCTCCCTCGGTCGTCACCCATCCTATTCGCACCTGTTTTAAATCCCGTTTCTGATCAATCCACGTCCGCATTTAACAGTATTCATATATATCCCTGTTAATGTTTCCGCCTTGAAGTACCCCAGCCTCTCCAACAGCCCGTCTAAATGGCAAAACTCACGGGAAACGTCTCCCTGCTGCTCGTTGTCCTCTCCCTCGTCTGCCTCTCGCCTCTCCCTCTCGCATCCGCCGGTGCGCCGCTTACTAGTAAGCAACGCATTGCGCGCACGCCCCGGGCGCACGAAGAGCACCGCCGTCAGCGCCAGCTGACCGACATTGTCAGCCGTGGCGCGACCACGCGTGTGCACACGTCTGAAGATCCAAGCGCTCCAATAAAATACGGAGGAGGGCCTGTGATGACCGGAAACCCGTCCATCAACGTGTACATCATCTACTACGGCAGCTGGCCGGCAGGATCGGGGCAGAAAATAATCGAGAATTTCATTAGATCGCTGAGCGCGGACTCGCAGCGGCAGGGGAGTCCCGCGGATCCCAAGGTGAAGCGCTGGTGGGCGATCAGTGCGGCTTACACGCAGGAGGAAGAGGACGGCACAAAGACGAACGTCAGCAGCAAGGTGTGTTGCACATAAACGTTGCCACTACTCCCTCCCATAACTTTGCCACAACACCCCTCCCATAAAGCGCCTCGTCTCTCTCTATCAACTTAATGAAATGCAAATTATTTTGCATTCGTTTCATTCCAGGTGCGCCTCGCCAGGACTGTCCGTGACAACTACTCGGCGGGAAAGGATTTTGGCAAAGACACGGTTTGGGAAGGTACGCAGCACAGCAAAACCATTTCACGGCCTCTTCCAGCATTTCGCAGCATTCCACCACTCCACCTCTTCCAGCATGATGATACCTGCCGTTGAGCAACTATGCACTGCCGTAAGCAAGTCAGGATACGTTTCTGTCACAATCTGAACTATTAAAAAGCCCTCCTCTTGTTGCAGTTCTTTCCAACAAGATTGGCGCTGGAAAGCCGTTTCCGTACGACGCGAGTGGCATCTACCTGCTTCTTTCCAGCAAGGATGTCACCGTCCCGGGTTTCTGTACCGAGTATATGGGGTGGCACAGCATGGGCTACATTGATTCCGAATCGCCGGTTGTATTCTCGTTCGTGGGGCATCACGGGCAGTGCAAAGAAGAATGGATTCCGAAACCGTCTCCCAACGGCAACCCTGCGATCGATTTCACGCTTTCAACCATTTCTCATGAGATTGCGGAAGCAGCAACGGACCCAGATGTTCAGACCGGGTGGGGCGACGAGAACGGTGAGAATGCGAACAAGTGTTACATGGACGTTGGTCAGACGAAAACGGGCAAGGACAGCCGCGGTGGAACGTACAAGTACAATCTGGTTGGGATGAACAACATGAGGTTTCTGATCCAGAGTAACTGGGACTGGCAGAAGAACAAATGTGTGACGCAGAGGAAGTACCAGTAGGGGGAGGATTTATGTGTGTCATCATGCTCGAATGAAACGTTTCCCATCTCTTTCTGAAGTCTAGATACAATGAATACGGTCCAATGCATGGATGTACCGTGAAATATAAATCAACAGCGCTTCTTTTATGCATCATGATTAGCCAAGCAGAGCCAAGCCTAGTCGATCCAAGCCTAGGAAAAGCAAGGTTCAGCCCAACCCAAGTAAAGCTATTCCAAGCAAATTAAAGCCAAGCCAAGCCAGGTTGGAGGGCAAACCAAGCCAAGCATAGCCAAGCCATGCAAAGCCATGCCAAGCCGGGCTCGACCAGTCCAACCCAGGACAAGCCTAGCCAAGCCAAGAATCGCCAGGCCAGGACAGGCCAGACCAAGCCAGGCCTCGCCAGGCCAAGCAAAGCCAAGCATTGCTAAACATAGTCCATCCAAGCCAATCCAGGCCATGCCAAGCCATGCCAAGACAACTCCATGCATGCCAATCCAAGGCAAGCCAAGAGGATAAATCAAACAAAGCCAAGCCTTGCCAGGACAGTCAAAGCAAAGCATAAGACAAAACAAAACAGGCCAACCTACACCATA